GGTATTCCAGGGGAGTAGTGATATCCAAGCAGAACCCGGCTGATCGGTGAGCTACCTTGTTCATTGGATTCTGTCAAAAGTCTGGCATTGAAACTATAGTTCTTCATAAAGGATAAAACACTAAAGCTTTTTTGAGAGTAAGTTACTCTCCAAAACGCCAAATCTTTCTGCTGTGCCAGCATTTTACAATTTTTTATTTTGTTTTGTTTTGGGTCTGACTTTCCCTTTCACCAGATTAAATACTTCTGAGCCGATTAAGGATTATTGTAATCATTCTTTCTTCTTTTTGCATAATCAATAAAAACATTCCCAACTATTTTATTAGGTGAGTATAGAAATGGCCATCTTAGAGTGTTATTTTCATACTCTTGGACTATATTTATAATGTATAATTAACTTTTAATAAATACTGCACACTCTTTAGTTGAGTACCAAAAATATAGGAAAAAAATCATAATTTTGTCATAAATCTGTAAGTATTAGACCACTTTTAATTTAGAGATTGAAACCGGAATAAAATACAGATTTAGTTTAACTATGGATTATGACACACAGTGAACAAAACCGTCTTCATTTACTGTTTGGGCACTTTCAGTTTTCAACGGAAAAATCAGTTAATGGTGATAATTTTCATGTTTTATGTATAAATACAGAACACGCTGGAAGGTATCAGGCTGCTCTTTGTAATAATTCACCTACAAGCAAGACATTCCAGATGCTGGCAGCTTTAATTCCCAATAAATAAAAAGCTAAATCAGTTGTAATTGTCACAGTGCTTTCTCTTCAATGTTTTCTTTCTTATCAGGAACCTTCTGCTGGCCTCTATTGAGAACATATGCGTCTGACCTACAGAGCTGATGGGGAGCCTCTTAAGGCACGGGTCTGAGGGTCTGAGCTTGGGTTGCCATGACAAAATACCACAGACTGGCTGGCTTAAACACACAGGGGTTTATTTCTCACAGTGCTGGAGGCTGGAAGTCAAGAGCAAGGTTAGCAGAACTGTCCCAGGTAAGGGCCCCCTTCCTGACTTTGAGATGGGCACCTTCTTCCTGTGTCTGCACGTGGCACAGAGAAAAAGCGCGGTTCTCTTTTTCTTCTTAGAAGGATGTTAACGCCATCATGACACCCTCATGATCTTGTCTAAACCTAAATACTGCCCAAAGGCTCCATCTCCAAATACCCTCACATTGGGGGTTAGGGTTTCAATATATGTATATGGGAGGAATACGAACCCTCTGGCCCTAAGAGCGGGGTTGTAGGAGTGCTTTGGCTTAGACAAGAGGGGTCCCAGCTCAGTCAGAAGCCAAACTAGGGTAAGGTCCTAGGGGCATGGCAGGCACGCGAGGGTTCTGCAAGTCCCAGAGCCCAAACCCTCCCTTCCAGGTGCTACTGAGTGCTTGAGACCCAGAATTTCCTGCCCGGACAGCCTGCACATCTGCTTTTGGAGCCTGCGTGGCCCTTTCCCCAGCGCACCCATCCTGACCTTGAACTGCACCGCCATTATGGAATCCTCTAGTCAAGAGATGGCCAAGGGGTGGCTGTTTGGATTGAGGTGGAGAAGTGGCTGGAGGTGGCTGGAGGCCACAGGCACGAATATGAGATGCAATCGAGGACAGAGAGAGAAGGGGGAGAGAAGAGCTGGCTCGAGGTCCCCACGTTGGAGACCAAACTCTAAAAAGTACCAGAATTCTTCATGCACACTTCGTCTTGCAGGTTATGAAAAAAGTACAGTGGGGAAGGGGGGAGGACAAAATGGATTGTATGTCAAAGGGTTGGGCTGCTGGGGGTCTGGGCTTCTCTTTGTACTCTGGTTCTTTCTTCACAAGTGTTAGGAGTGGATCTCTGACTACGTTATCTTCATGAATTTGCATTTTACTATCCGTAATTTTGATGCATCTTGTCTAATATTACAGATGTAAATTAAACAATACATGACCGAGGGGGGAAAAAACAGCTTTAAAGTGATAAAGTGAACATTGGTCTGAAGGGTCTTGGTAGCTGGCAGTGCTGAGCTGAGTGATAAGCCACCTGAGTCCTCAGCTTGCTCTTTACTAAGGCCCATGCTGATTACTTTGAGCTTTGACAACGGCTCATTTTGAAAGGAAAATAAATACATGATAGTAATTTAATATATTAATTATTTCTTTGTCAGAGAGAGAGCATAAGCAGGGGGAGCAGGAGAGGGAAAAGCAAGCTCTCTGCTGAGCAGGGAGCCCGACCCCAGGACCCTGGGATCCTGACTTGAGCCAAAGGCAGATGCTTAACGACTGAGCCACCCAGGTGCCCCAGTAACTTCATTAATTAACAAACATTTTTTCTTTCTTTCCTGTTGCCACTTGTGTTCCCCTCATGGGCTGCTCCTCTGATGTCCTTGTCATAGGAACCTAACACTGTGCACTCTTATAAAGTGTGTACTGTTGTTGTGTATGCATATTTTTAAAAACTTACACAAAGTTATGCATTTTTTTCCCTTGGCTTTTTCCACTTAATGTTGTTTTTAAGATCTGGTCATATTGCTCTTGGGATGGAGTTGATTGCTTCTAATTCCCACACAGTGTCCGTGGAACACATCCATCATTTTTTACTTACCCATTCCCTTGGTGGTGGGCATCTAGGTGGGCATCTCTATTACCATATACAAAGTGTGACGCTAATGAACACATGCTATGTGATCCTTACCAAGCTGAGAATTTTGCTGAGGTATTTACCCATAAGTTATTGTTGACAGGGATTACATTATTTCGTTAAATACTGTGGGAGCGTTTTCTAGAACTGCTGAATCAACTTTAACTTCCAAGAGCTGTTTACCTGAGTGCTCACCTTTCCACATTTTCACCGGCACCTAGTATTGCCTCCTTTTCAAAATTTTGCCATTCTCATGCGCTCGAGTGGTCTCTGTATTGCTGTTCACAATCATTGCTGACATGAAAAAAGAATTACTAAGTGTTAGAAAATTACACGTTCCTTTCCCAAGTCATGCTGTGTGACTAATGACTTCTCTTATATAGTCTTGTTTTCACTGGCTACTGTAAAGCCTTCGATGTTTCTAATATTTTCTATGTATCTAGCTGCTGTGCAACAGGTACACAGAGCGTAACTGGGCAGTCTTGTGCTGGCCATGGTGGTGTCCATGATGCGTGTGTAATTTACAAAAGGGGCACTGAGCTCTGAATAATCACGGTTTCTTCTTCCAGTTGTTCTTCCCTTTTTTCCTGTACCCCTTCTCTTTCTATATTTTCCTTAAAGAAATGCCCATGTTACCATATGTACAAATTCACCCTGTTAATTTTGCCACGTTTCCCTGACTTTTTAAACATTTGTTGAGCTTTGCCACCAGAAGATTCCACAGCATCATTCCTCAGCGAGAAGCTGAGCTACTGCAGAAGAGGAAGCAGAGTCAAGGTAGGTGGTGAAACAATTCTGAGAAAATTTGCTTTAAAGAGAATATCGTCCTATGGCATTAAGGGGAAAAAAATGTGTCTAGAACATAGTCATTCACTTCTCAGAGATAGATAAGTGCTCGGCTATAAAAGCACGAGCAGCATGATGGGCACCAAGTAAGAACTTCGAGGTTTCATTAGCATCTTTCCACCTCACTGGAGGTGAGACAGCCCCAGCATGTTCTCCAGGAAAAGGTTTGATGTGGAGTCAGAGAACTTGATGATGCAGCCAAATTGCCCATTTATGTTCAACTCTGGTTATTCTGTTTTTATGTCCATGCCATGGGCTTTTAATTTGGATAATAAATATGCATGGCTTTCTTCTGGACTCTCTGCCTTTTGTGCTACTGCTAACACAGTTGGCTTGTAAGCTGTTTTTGTCCCAGAAGCAAGGCAGAGTTCTGAGGGTGGGTCGAGAAAAGAGAGTTCAGCATTCTGAGAGGTCATCAGTTAGCACCATGTGGGCGGGCCTGATTTTGAAACCTATGCGGACTCTGGAAGGCAAGAACCCCATCTGGGGGTAGTTTGAAGTTTGTGGAAGAATTCTTTAAAAAATGTGACATCGTACTAGTAGAATGAAATTTGTTCTCTGGAGGTTGATAGAGCTGCTTGACCTTGTGAACAAGGTTCACCAAATTGAAAGTATTGTCTCCATCTTTTTTTTTTTTTTTTACAATGGAGGCAAACATCCATTTCACTGTGGCTTCTCTTCTAGGCATTCTGGAGCTCCAGTGAGGAGAGCTTCACTGTAGGACAGAGACGGAATCTTGTTCCCTAGAAATGCATACCAAAGAGCCATAGTAAAGCTGCTCAAAGTGATTTGTGTGCCAGGATTCAGAATCTCATCTGTGCCGAGCCAGTTTATCACACTGACTCATGTGGTGGGTGACCTGCAACTTCCTTATTGCTAAATGGTAGTTCTCCACTAATAAAGAGCTTTCCCCCTTTGACCAGTATAGTAACATGGAAGGGGACAGCGAAATCTAGAAAAAGAAAAGCAGTTCTTTTAGGCAGATAAGAATTACCATCAATTATAGATTCATACCTCACTGGGGTAAGCATATTGTTTTGATAGTCTCAAGAAAAATTATTTTGTCTACCACATGCTGGGAGAACATCAGTATCAACCTTCTGCAAATACCTATAAAGCTCTGCTCAGCAAGAAGCACTTCTAGAAAACAAAACAAAACAGCCAAAAGAAGCTCAGAGTATAGGCAGTGTAGAATCTTCTTGAATCCATTTTCAGATGGTCTGTGAGGTTTTTGTCATGATGACTGTAAAAGAAAAAAAGATTTCTCTTTGTGTTGCTAAATCAGAATTGCATGGGTGTCTGAATGAATGAGACAGGGTTTGCCTTACATGGCCTGAGGGGACATGGTTTCAGGGTGATGGGCGGGCTTCCTCCTCTGCTGGGTGGCTACTCTCCTCTGCCTCCATCTTGATTCAATTCTGGAGATTGAGAAATCCCATTCTTCCTTTAGTATGAATGTGTTGATCAGGTCGTTCCTTGAGACAGGATGCCAAACTTCTGCCTACAGTGGGCACTAGACCTTAACTAATATGGCCTCCCACTCCAACTTGGTTCCTCTGCTTCTTGGCCAAGGTTGGCGTAGTGGTGCTGGATGTGGACTCAGAACTGTCAAGTCCTGGATTCAAGTGTGGGTTTCCATCTCATCTGTTGTTTCGCCTTCTACAAAGTTAAAAGAATCATTACCTCCCAGTGTGATGCAAGGTAATCCTACTACTAATATTAGTAAATCCACAAAAATACTCCCTATTATTACATTTTCTCTTGGGAAGGGTTGTATCCTCAGCACAACAGTGCGGACCATTCCCTGTTCTTGATGGTTGACGACAAGCCTACCCTGCACCCCCTTATTGGGGTTTTGATGCATCTGGTTTGGTGTCTGACAGCTTGGAGAACTTGCTTGTTACCACTCCGGGGATGGTTGCTGCTTGTCATGTTTTAGGACATAGCTCCTGGTCCGCATTAATTTGGGTGTGTTATTAGCTAGAAATGGCTAAGAAGACAACAGTTTCTTTCATTAGGTTTCTTTCATTAGATGAGAACTGAAATGTAGAAATATTTTGATGAAATTCTAGGCACATAGGAGGAAGCTGGTCTTGATTTTATTTATTTTTGAGAGAGAGTAAGTGAGCAGGGGGAAGGGCAAAGGGAGAGGGAGAAGTAGACTCTCTGCTGAGCAGGAAACCCCATGGGGGGCTTGATCCCAGGACTCCGGGAATGACCCAAGCTGAAAGCAGATGCTTAACTGACTGAGCCACCCTCCAGTTGGAATTTCTAAAGCATATCCATAATGCTAGAATTCAGGGACCTTAAGTCCAGTTGACTTCCTATAACATCCCCCGAGGCACAGCTGGTGTTGGAAACATAACAGAATTCTACTACTGCTTTTCTGAAGACACTGTCTGAATAGCAAGGTTTACTTTTTTAAGCAATCCATTAATGCTGTGGTAATTCCTAGTGTGGATTTGGGAAAATCATTCTTAGGACTATTTGATATAACTAGAAGTGGTTAGCAGTAATTACGTTTCCTAAAATACTGACTTTCCTTCAGTTAATGAAACATTTATATGCTGACACCTGCATCAAATTAAAGTCTGGCATGCCTTAGTCTCTGTCTACACAGTGTGGTCCAAGACCTGCAGCAGCAGCACCTGGGAGCTTGTTAGAAATGCTGATTCACAGGCTCACCCCAGACCGAATGGTCAGAATCCAGATTTTGAACAAGATGGCTGCTGGCGACTTGAATATCCACTAAAGTTCAAGAACACTGTCCCAGTAGACCTCACCCTCTGTTTTAAAAAGAGATGAGGAAGGCAAGAATTATTTGGTGCTCTTGTCACAGAATAATGAGAATCAGCGAAGCTGCTTAATTAGTAACTTGCTCATCTGTGTAGACCAGCACTAGCCAAAAGAAATAATGAGAGCTATGTGGGAGTTTTAAATTGATATGCAGCTCGTTAAAAAAAGTAAAAGGAACAGGTAAAATTAAAGACATTTAATTTAAGTAGATACATCCAAAATCAGACGTGAAAAGATACTGAGATATTCTCCATTGTTTTTCATGATACACCTTATGTGCCTATTACACTGACAGCAACATCTCCATTTGTACTGGCCACATGTCCAGTGCTCAGTGGCTGCATGTGGCAAGTGGCTACCATATTGATGGAGCAGTTACAGATGAGGATGTGTCCTTTCTACTCCACGGTGCACTGACTTGCCCAGGAAAGGGGACAGCATCAGGCTTATACACCTGTACACTGGAGATGAACAGAACAAGACTCCAGGGTCCACCTCAGCCCTCTGGGCTCTCAAAATGACAATTGGACATAAAGTATATGCAACAGAGCATACTCGATTGATTGTTACCATTATTAAAAGGAAGGTACTGGTAAATTACATGATTATTGATGAGTGCTGTTTCACAGGTGTATCAGGGTCCACCGATTCTGAAAGTTTGCCTGCTCCCGTCTAGCTCCTAAATATATATATACACACACACACTTTTCCCGAATAGACACCAAGCTCATTTTGCCAGTTGCACAGTATGGGTTTTCCTTCCTCATTCCTGGATTCAAGGAGGATCATAGATCACATTCAATTATTACATTCTTTTCTCCTGAAATCTAGAAACTTTTCTTCTCAGACTTTTTTTTGGAGAGAGAACAGGCTAGTTACATATAGGAATATACCCCTCAACTTGGTTTTATCTGGTGTTTCCTGAGGACTGCCTTCAGGTTATATACTTGGGAAGGTTAGCCAAATAGTTTTCAATGAAGGTACTAGTAAATAACAGGAAAACAGCATCACTACAGGGACTGAAGGGATCTTCCTACCCTCGGATCTCTTACAGGTGCTTCCACTGGCTGAACTTAACAAGAAATGGACAAGCAAAGCAATGCAGGTGAGTTAGTCCTTAGTAGTCAGCCTCTTGGAGCAGGGAGAACAGTACAACAGCACAAAAAATGGGTCGTGGTGGGACTGGGAGAAACAGGAAATCACAATCAGGAAAGAAAGCAGGGTGAGCTTTCCAAACACAGGAAGTAGAACATGCAAAGGCAATGAGGTGTCAAAGGACAAAAGTATTAAAGAACATTGTGGACTGTAGTCAGTGAGTCTAAGAAGCTAGACCAGGCCCATTTTGTTAAGTATTGCATATCAAACTAAGGACTTTGAAATTGATGCTACTGACAAATATTTTTAAGCAGGAGCAGGACACGATCAGATTCATGTTTGAAAAAATAGCTCTTGGTGGCAAGAGAGCAGAAATGCAATAGAAATTGAAGTCAGGGGTTTAGTGCAACAGCTCAGGGAAGACAAGAGAAAGGTAGAGGAGAGGGTCCAAGATGCTTGAGGTTTAATTAATAATATAGTATTACTGGTGATGGCAGTTGCCAGACAGTGGGTCTCTACTCTTTGACAGTAAATTAGATAGCTCATCAATCTTCAGAGCAGCTCCATAAGGCAGGCGCTATTATCACAGTGGTAATTATAAGAAATAAAAATGTTTGAGTGGATGATAATACCAGGAATCTAGGCAGAAAGTATGAAGTTGCCAGCAGGCCACAGCATGAACCTTTACTAGTAAGGCTTCGGAGACTGATCTGGACTGGTGCTGGGTGCTTGGGAGATATCACATTGTTGATGTAAGAGCTGCAATCATAGTGTATATGAGACTGATGAGGATAAATACTGAACAGGAACACTACTCTATGGTAAGGAATGTTCAAAAAAAATGTCAGATGTGGCCATTTTTGGTGTTGATATAATTGGCCTATCCCAAGTTAGTCTCATGGTAACTGTCACTTTCCAGCAGGGCCAGATTTGTAAAGGACACACAGTTTACTACTTTGAAAACAGAAGTTCAGGATCTTCCAGTGGTGCCATGTTGAACCAGAACTCCCCTTCTCCCACTGACCCACAGAACCTACGGCCACATAAGGAATAATTTGCTCTGAAAAAGAGCTAGAACCTAGCCAAGAACTCCTACACATGAGGCGAAGAAGAAGAAAATAGGTAAGTAAGACAGGCTGAGACACCATCTAGCCATGTGACCCACAATCAGAAGGGAATTCAATGCCCACAGCTTGCTTTTTCCTGAAGAGCTAAGGGTTTTATATCCCACATCAGGCACCCCAACTTTTGATACCTGCACCTGAGAAACTAGCCCCCTAAACATCTAACTTTAAAAACCAATGTGGCTTGGGGGCGCCTAGGTGGCTCAGTTGGTTGGGTGACTGCCTTCGGCTCAGGTCATGATCCTGGAGTCCCTGGATCGAGTCCCGCATTGGGCTCTCTGCTCAGCAGGGAGTCTGCTTCTCCCTCTGACCCTCCCCCCTCTCATGTGCTCTCTCATTCTCTCTCTCTCAAATAAATAAATAAAATCTTAAAAAAAAAACCCAAAAAACAATGTGGCTTGCATCTAGGAGGTCCATGAGGCTATGGAAATAGTAGTTAAAGGGCTCCTGTGTGCCCGCACTCACCTGTCTCAGGGCCCAGGACAGAAGCAGTCCAGTCTTCATGTGGGGGATGAGGCTCATTTGCTTATTGGAAAGCACCATCTTCAAGCTCACTGGCTGCTGTGATCCCATGGCACGAGTATTTACCCCTGGAAGGCTTTTACATGCATCTGGCACCCCAGTTTTGATGCCTACCAGCCAGCCTCTGCTAGCCCAGGGAGGTTGAGTTCCAGAGTCCTAAAAGACTGTAAGAACCCAAGGCAGTTCTTGGCAGGTGACAACCCCCAGGGTACTGCATAGACAGATGAAAACACAACCTTCCTCTGTGAAAGAAGCCTGTTTGTCATGCAGTTTTGGCCTGAGGGTCAGGTTTGGCACATATCTAGGGGTCTACAGAGGTGCTGTCAGGGAACATAGGCCACTGGATGCCAACTGTGCACTCACCCTCAGCCGTGCTCTGGCTCCTTGGTATGTCCCAGAATTGTCTGGTGCCTAAATTTTTGCAAATGCCACTGAGAGGACACCTCCAGGTAGCCTGTTTATGGTGGCCAGCAATGCTTATACACCATAAGACAAGAGCATGAGTAGAGGTGGAGGAAGAGAGAGAATCTTAAGCAGGCTCCACACTCAGCATGAAGCCTGATGCAGGGCTGGTTCTCATGACCTGATCTGAAACCAACAGTTGAACACTCAAGCGACTGAGCCACCCAGGCACCAGCTTTTTTTTTTTTTTTTTTAAAGATTTTATTTATTTATTTGAGAGAGAGCACACCAGTAGGGGGAAGTGCAGAGGGAGAAGCAGATTCCCATTGAGTAGGGAGCCCAATGCAGGGCTCGATCCCAGGACCCCAGGATTATGACCTGAGCCTAAAGGCAGACACTTAACCAGGTACCCCTGGGAACAGCCCCAATCCAATTGCTGACTGGGATCCTCCACATCTGGATAATGACAGGTAGTGGCACACCCTCAATGACTGAGAACCACTAAAAATAAAATCTCAAAGGTTTGAACCAAGAGCTAAAAAAAAAAAAAAGGTTAAAAGAGGAGGTTCATCTCCTACCCAAGGCCACTCCTTCCAGACGGGGAGAGGTAGCTGTTTTATGTAGTGCATGAAAAGAAAAACAAATGCAAAACCTCAGGAAAAAAATCCTTAATGAAATGGAGATGAGTGATGTACCTGATAAGGAGTTCAAAATAGCAGTCATACAGTAAATTCAGTAAATACCAAAATCAGGAACTTCAAGGAGATTGAAAATATAAGAAAGTACCAAATAGTAGTCACCGAGCTGAAGAATATAAACGTGAAATGAAAATCATCCCAAAGGGATGCCATGCAGACTGAATGAAGCAGAAGAAAAAGACCATGAACTGAAAGACAAGGCAGTGAACTCAATCCATCAGAATATAATCAAAAAGAAAAGAAGAAACAAAAAAATAGCTTAAAGAACTTATGGGACAACACAGGTAGACCAGCACTCAACAGTCACATTATAGGACTGCCAGAAGGAGAAGAGAAAGAAAGAAGCAGAAAACGGACTTGAAAAAATTATGTCTGAAAACACCCCAACTTTGGGGAGGAACAAGAATCCAGATCCAGGAAGCTCAGAGAGTTTCAAGTAAGATGAATCCAGAGCCAAAAGAGAAAAACAGTGTTAAGAATCAGGAACCCAGGGGCACCTGGGTGGCTCAGTCGGTTAAGTGGCTACCTTCAGCTCAGGTCATGATCCTGTGGTCCTGGGATCGAGCCCTGCGTCTGGCTCCCTGCTCAGTAACTCAGCAAGGAGCCTGCCCCGCCCTGTCAATTAATAAAACTAAAATCTTAAAAAAAAAAAAAAAGAACCGGGAACCCTCAGAGAACTATCAAATCTTTGCAGGCCATGGATGAGTGGCAGGGTATCTTAAAAATCTTCAAACCAAAAACACTTCTATCTGACAAAGTTGTCATTAGAATTGAAGGACAGATACATAGTTCCCAGACAAGCAAAAGCTGAAGAAGTTCACCATTTCAAGCCTACAAGAAAAGAAATAGCACTAATTAGTAACAAGACCTATGAAAGCATAAATCTCACTGTTAAAAGTAAATATATAGCAAAGGTGGTGGATCATGTATATAACTTCTAAGATCACTTAAAAGCCAGTATAAATGTTAAGACAAAAAGTAAAAATACCATAATTAAGGGAAATATAAAAAGGGAGGGAGTGAAATTCTAAGAGTTTGAGAATGTATTTAAGTCATTATCAACTTGAAATAGACTGCGCTTATAATGAGGCTTATGCACAACTTATATTCATAACAAAGTAAAAACCTGTATACAGTTGTCCCTTGAACAACATGGGTTGGAACTACACAGATCCACTCATACGTGGATTTTTTTTTTTGTGACTATAGTACAGTATACTAAGTGTATTTTCCTTATGATTGTCTTACTATATTCTTTACTAAAACTAAAGAAAAATATTAAGACAATACAACATATGTGTTAATCAGTTATGTATATTATTGGTAACACTTCCACTCAGCAGTAGGCTGTGAGTAGTTAAGGTTTTGGGAAGTCAAAAGTTATATGCACACTTGGAACTACATGAGAGCAGGGGTCAGTGTTCAAGGGTCAACTGTAGATCAACAAAAGATGAACATAAAGGAATCTATGAATACCACTATTGAAAGTCATGAAATCACAAAGGAAGAGAACACAAAAACAAAAGAGAAAACAAGAAACAAAACAGCAGTAAGTACATACCTTTCTTAATTACTTGAGTACATCTACATTTAAATTCATCAATCAAAAGACACAGAGTGACTAGACAGAAAGAACAAGACCCATCTCTATTCTAACTATAATACACTCACTTCAGATATAAGGACACACACAGACTGAAAGTGAAGGGATAAAAAAGATGCTCTATGGAAAGGGAAAGGAAACCTGAAGTAGCTGTATTTATATCAGACCAAACAGATCTTAAGACATGTATCCAGTTCTCTATATCCATTTTACAGATGAGGGAATGAAAGCACAAGTTTATGCAGCCAGTGAATAAGGGACATTCAAGACTTCAGATTTTTCTATAGCTATTTTATACAAAAAAAAAAAAAGGCCATGTAATGAAAGGCAAAGAAGGGCATTACATAATGCAAAAGGGGTCAATCCAACAAGAGGAAAAATGTATTGGATCCAACAGAGAAGCAGCTAAATACGTAAAGCAAGTATTAACAAACCAAAGAGAAATAGCAATATAATATGAAACTGGAATACCCTTCCCTGATGGATAGATCATCTACACAGAAAAGCAATAGGAGCCTTAACTGACACATTAGACAAGGTGAACTTAAGAGACGCATACATGACTTTCCACCCAAAAGCAATAAAATGCACAATTGTTCTCGAGTGCATAGGAAGCAATCTCTGAAATCTTAGACCACAGAACACGTCTTAATAAACTTAAAAAGGCTGAGATCATATTTTAATCCTCCACAATGGTATAAGATGAAAAAGCAACTATAGGAAGAAAACTGGGAAATTCACTAATAGGGGGATGCTAAATACGATGCTACTGAACAACCAATGGGCCAATGAAGAAATCAAAAGAGAAATTAAAAAATACCTTACTCAAGTGAACATACAACATACCAAAACTTAGAGGACACAGAAAAGCAGTTCAAAGAGGGAAGTTCATAGCAATAAATGCCTACATCAAGAAAGTACAAAAAGAACAAATGAAGCCCAAATTTGGTAGAAACAAATGAAACAGAGACTAAAAAGGTCAATGAAACTAAGAGCTGGTTCTTTGAAAAGAAATAAAACTGACAAACCTTCAGCTAGACTCATTAAGAAAAAGGAGAAGCACACATAAGTCAAAAATAAAAAAAGGAGACATTACAACTTATACCACAGAAATACAAAAGACCATAAGAGGCTGCTAGGAAAAATAAACACCAACAAACTGGACAACTAGAAGAAACAAATTTCTAGACACATCAAAACTACCAAGACTGAGTCATGAAAAAAGTCTGAGCAGACCAATTACTAGAAATAGAATTTATTCAGTAATCAAAAACCTCCCAACAAACTAAAGTCCAGGACAGAGTATCTTCACTGGTGAATCCTAACAAAGATTCCAAGATTATGAACGCCAATCCTTCTTAAACTCTTCCAAAAAACAGAACTGGGGGAACATTCCCAAGCTTATTATACAAAGCTTGGAACATTTCCAAGCTTATTATACAAAGCTCTGATGAACATAGATATAAAAATACTCAATAAAATATTAGCCAAGAGAATTCAACAGTGCATTGCAAAGATCATGCACCATGATCAAGTGGGATTTATTCCAGTGATACAAGGAAGGTTCAACATCCATAAATCAACAGGATACAACATATTAACAAAATGAAGGTTAAAAGTCATGATCACATCAATAGTTGCAAAAAATCAATTGATACAATTTAATAGCCATTTATGATAAAACCTCTTAACAAAGTCGCTATAGGAGAAATGTACCTCAAAGTAATAAAGGCCATATATGACAAGACCACAGCTAACATTACACCA